TGAAATGTTTTAGTTTTCTATTATTTAGTCCTAGATAACTAAACATATTACTATGTCTAAATACATGATCTTATAGAGTAAACATCGCTCTTTCAAATGAGCCATGAACCAGTCATAGGAGTTTCACATTTTTTGAGAAAATCAAAAACTACAAAGATTCGTGAAAATTCACGTTTTTTCGATGCGTCGGCGACCCCCAACAGAATGTTTTGTCTCTAGTCTCTTAACAAAATAGTTTCAGAAAGAGTTATTACAGGGTTAGCAGTCATTTTCAATGCTCTTTCGAATGGCATGTGAATAATTTAAAAAGAAAATTTGTCGGCGGACGGCCTCTTAGCGCTTAGTTCGGTTTTCTGGCGAAGGCTCTCTTAATGAGTCAACCTCTTACTATATTTTGTAACACTTCATATCCTAATTGTGGTACTTGCCCACCTACATTCAATGACCCATCAGATGCGGGCAAATTGTAAATTGTTTGAATAATACCACTTTCTCCTAAAGACAAAAGAGAATTTTCTCTCACTTACTAAAAGCTGCGTGGTAAACTTACGTTGCCGGCCATTAATATCATGTCTTTGTAAATACAGTGGAATTAGGGCGATCACGATTACGCCTGCGAATATTAAACCGAGCAGTCCCAAACAACACAAAACCATTAATGGTAGCCATCGAAGTCTAAACCATGAACACATATGGATCGATGGGTAGCAGAAAGGAAGAAGGGATATACCTCTTTGGTGAAGGCGAGAGTACTTGATACTCGTGTACTGTCTCCATTTGGAATTGTACTTTTGCGGAACAGAAGTACAATTATGTTACAATTCTGATAACAAAGGACTTAGGCGGGTAACATAGAAAGTCGTGCCACAATGGGTTAGTTCCAGAAAGGGACACTACAGGTGTCAAAAATCTCATATCGTAATTTCATTGAACTAAGTAAAATATCATTCATTACAAACACAAGAAAGTAACAGCAGTCATTTTCGTTTTATAAAATGAAAATTACTCCTGTTACTTTCTTATGTTTATTAAAACTTTTGCCGCTTCGAAACGATAATATTTATCATTCATTATACTAGTCTTTTTGATTTCTATCTTCTCATTTATCTGATAGATATGGGCACGTTAGCGATCGATTACATCACTAACCATAACAGAAAAAACAGAGAGCCTAGCTTGAATGCATAGGCTACTCACTTGAGTAAGGTATAATGTTAACAATAACATTTGAATATGGTGCTTCTTCGTCGTGTTTAGAACACTGAGCTGTGATTATTGACTACGATTCGTCAGTTCGGTTGAATAATTTCTGTAGAATCATAAAACACGTGATAGAGAGAGGAATATAGTTCGTATAAAGCAAAATAAGATTAAAATTATTTCGACTTAGCCATCAGAACTTGTAGCTGTGGAACCACTACACGTTGAATACTTTTATCGCAAAAGCTGAAACATATTTGTGTTCCATCGTGCGAGATGTGTGCACTAAACAGAGGAGAGAGAATGAAAAGACTTCATGTTGTCTCACATGTTTCTTTATCTTGTACTAAGTACATTTAGGTACATTCTTATGATGTTGTGTACCCAAGCATATCAATGTACACATGCGAAGTTAATTCACTACTTTCGTCAAAAACAATGATTATAATCAACTTTTAGGTACAAATCGGTCTCTCAGAAACTTTGAAATAATGTATAAGGATCGTTCGTAGAGTATTTTATTCAGTTTTTCACTGGTTATTTTTTCATATGAGCGTTTGTGTGAAACCTATGCTAGATTTTTCAAAAATATTATTTTTTTGAACAACGACGTCTTCTGATGGAATCTCAAAATAATCGACATTAAAAATGTATTTTGAGCTTATTTTCTAATAAGGACAACTGGATAATGTGGCCAAACGTTTTTTCTACAATAGTCGAGTCAAAATAATCAAAAAAAAGAGGAACCATTTTCTGATGAAGTTAACCCCCCTCCTTTTACCTTGTTTATAATATGCGTGCGGCTTGTCTCATATTTGATATTCGAAGTTTCATAGCTAATAAACAGTGGCGGCAAAAAGTTTCCGTACACCCCAAATTTGTTTTTCTTTTGATCATAACTTGGTAACGAAAAAAAAGCTTTTAACAAGCAGTTTGCATTGTCCACTCTTTCCAGTATATTTACAAATAAGAAAAGTTAGAAATATTCATTGTTGCTCTTTGCAGGCGTATTAGACTGAAACGCGACCATTTTCAGGTCAGCAAAAAGGCTCCGTACAATTGAAATAATTTCTTGCGTTGTAAAGTACCGACAAAATATGAAAACTGCATCAATCGATTGAAGAGAGCGCGAGCTACACTTCGGTAAAATAATAATTTTGAAAAGTGTTTTTTTACGAAAACTCGACTTTAAGGCAAAATTGTCATACGCTTTGATTTGAGTGCTCAAGCTCAGGAATGAGTGAGTGCAAAAAAAATGTGATCAAGTCATTCGAAACAGGGTCAATCATGAGAATTTTCGATTAAAAGATGAGTCAAATTCTTCCATTTAACTGCCAGACAACATTAATCTTATTTAGTTTTTGACGCTGTTTCGAATGGCTTAATCACAGGTTTTCTCCACTAACTCATTTCTGAGATTGAGCAGGCAAACTGAAGAGTATGACAATTTTGACTTAAAGTTGCGTTGTTGTCCTGAGAAAGAACACTTTTCACAATTACTTTTTTCCTGAAATGCACTCCTCTATCGATTGATGCAGTTTCCATAGTTTGTCGGTACTTATACAACGTAAAAACGATTTTTCAACTGTATAAAACGTTTTGCCGCCACTGTATATGCATGTTTCAAAATGACTAACGTTTGTTCAAAGGACCCTGCCCGATTTAAAAATATGAAAGCATTAAAACGCTGAATAGCGCAATTAGCGCAATAGAGAATTCTATTGCGCATCTAATCATATATAAGTTTTGGTTTGAAACTATAATCTTTTCTCAAAAAATAATTTTTTGAAAAGTTTGACCATTTACTAACATGAGACGAAAAAAGATTTTTAACCCAGTAATGAAGTATCATGAAGATATTGTTTATACTGTATTTTGTACAGTGGAAAACGCGTTATAGATAGATTAGCGATAAAAGAATCAAAATAACATGGTTGTTGTTTAAGTAATCAACTCTTCACTAAAACGCCGATAACAAATCAAAGAAATACAGTATCACTTCCAAACTTTGTCGAAAATTGCCTGATACTTAACTCTATCTAGCAACAAAATTTGAGCCGTTAAGATCGGGTGCATGAATAAGAAAAAATTCAACACTGAGAAACTTTCGTACAGTTCAACGAAGGTCATTCACTTTGTTCCTCAAATTTTTCCTACGTTTCAAAGACCATGACCAAAGCTCATAAATAGAAAGATAGAAAATTTTTCAGACTTCAGAATGAGCTAAAAATAATCTTCCCAAAAATTTGAGATTATTTCTAACAAACATGTGAACATTACAGATAACTTGGAAATTTTTCTACTAAAAGGCGATTGTAATCCAAACATTTCTTTACAAAATGAGACATTCCACGACTCTAAGTATTTTGAAAGTTTGAGCTCAAACGATTGTTTTTTTCAAAAGATATAAGCATTTTTCTAATAGGTATCGCACGTTATAGAGAGCCGTTTTGTTATTGCAAATGTGAAAGTAAATTTTAATTTTCTCAGCCAGTATCAGAGATAAAGTCGAGATTTTTCTACCATATATACTACAAAATGAGCTCTATCCAGAGGTTACGTGAAAAAAATTTTAACTTATGACTACTGCTGGTGGTGAGCATTTTGCTGCAAAAGTGCTGCTAAAATTTAAAAATGGCTTTTCCTCCAGCCAGCGGAATGAATTCTTTTCAAACTAGTCTCATTTGAAAGAGCACATCGAGATGTGCTAGGATCAATGTCCAAAAGTTTGGTATCTCGAAACTCGGTGCACACAAAATTTTGAACAACTTTTGGCGGTAGTTATACAGTGCTGTCAATTCAAAAATGGAGCAAAATTGTCTTTTTCATTTTTTCTGATTTGGTTCGATAGAGCTCATCGAGTTACCTTGGAAAACATCAATTTTAATTCTTTTATAAATTATTTTCGAAAAAAACAATTAAAATATGAAAATATGGGAATTCGGTCAAACTTCGCGAAGTTTAAAAAAATAAGCAAGATTTTCATATTTATCGTACTTTTCATCGATCTTGACCGTTTTATTCGGATTTCCAGTACAACGTTGAGTATAGAAAATCAAGTTTGAAAAAGCTAAAGGTTAAAATAATCAATAATAAAATGAAATACGAGTCAACCCCTCTCAACTGCAACATGTATTCCTTGCAAAAGAATCAAGTCTTTTACAGATACGAGAGGAAACAATTCTTTTGCCTCCATTCTAGCCTCTATGCATGGAAGAAAAAGTTACAGATCGATTTTTGGTCTTACGATTTTGTTTGCTGAAACAAAGAAGTTTTTTCTAAAGTCAAAGATCTTCCAAGAGGACTATCGGTTTTGTACATATCTCAGTCCTCCGACAAAATTTTTCAATAGAATTTGTATCACATATGTAAAAAACTATCTACATTTCATCACCCATACTCTCAAGATTTTTAGTAACTAGTTAACTCTAGAGGGTTTCTAAAAAACCTTTCCTCTAAACGTCAGATTTCAAAGGTTTTTTTTTCGTGTATGCAATGGAATAAGGTATTCTCATTAATTACAGCTGTACATGGATCACTAGTTTATATTATAATCAACTTGTTCAACATCACAAAGAACGTAACTTGACCAAAAAACGCATTAAGAAATGGAAAGATGTCATGTAGAACTGTAAAACACGTACCATTCATATGTGAAAGGAAAAACAATAATTAGTTCGTAAACAGATAGATCTTACCTGAAAAATCTTCTTTGAAACCTGATGTTTCGAGAAAAGGTTTTTTAGAAACTCTCTAGAGATCTTAAGAGTTGCTGTTGGTTTTCGATACCAACTGGTGTATATTGTTTCTCTTTCTTTGTCTATTGTGAGTAATCTATCTAGATATGGTAATTTAACGTCGATCTCAAACTCGAAAGTAAATTGTAAATTTTTATCTATCTTATTTAGATCTGAAGTTAATTTTTCTATTTAAGTTTTGGTGAAATCTGATATTAAATGATGTATCGATTTAACATTTTGTACTCATAATGTGTTCTATTCCAATTTTCTTTTATGAAATCATTCATAACCAGATCTGCTAACAGTGGTGATAATGAACACCTCATTGGAAGACCTTGTTTTTGTTTGTAAATCTTATCCTGCAAACGGAAAACCATGTTATTGATACAAAAATGTACTTAGGGCATACCAAAAGTAGTGGCAGTGGTATTTTTATCCCTTATAGAAAGGTTAAAGAAACTTTCTTTTTATATAGTCTGATAGAGAAAAGAATGTTCTATTTTTCTATGCTATTTGATC